ACCCTAGAAAGGGAGGTGGTTTGGAATATACAGTGTGCATCTTTTGCTGGATGCACCATAGGCATAATGCCAGGTTTACTATACCTGCTCCAAAGTGATATATACACAAAACCATTCGGCAAAGAACTATCTTTGCTAGAATTTTGTTAAAACAAAAAACAACCTGGCCTGATTATCACAGAGATGGGACAAAGCTAAAAGCTTTCAGCTGAATGTTGTCTTCCAAGACTTGGTGATCTCAGTGTAAGGAAACAGAGATTCAATTAATCCTGGTGTTGGGTTTGCAATAAAAAATTCTGCTGAGTTTTGGTTCTGAAAAAAAACCAAGTAAAAACTCCAAGCGTCCTTGGGAAAGAAATGAACAACTGTTTAAAATGGTATAGCTTGAAGTCTGCTTTCCCTCACAAAGTCTTCTGCAATGTATTGTCTGTTTTGCAAGCCTGCAGTCCTACATGGCACAATCACCACTAACTGAAACCCAAGTTTAGACTTCAGCAATGAACTTGGTAGTTTTGCTCCAGTCCCCAGAAGAAACTCCTTCTCAAACCATCTAACTATCCCGCTCTTTCCCTTTGAGAGGCAGAGTCGGTAAAGCAGTGAATGTTGCAGGTAGGATTGAAACAGACCAGCAGAGCAACGAGGCTCCCACAGCTGCAAAAGCAGTCAAGTCTGAGATAGAGATGTTTTTGCAAGTCTGCAATGGCAGGAGACTTTGAAATGTAAGTGCACTAACACTTACACAAAAATGTCAGAAATGCCAGTTCACTGAGTAAACTAATAAGCCTATCCCATCCCTGCTGCCACTACTTCTGCCTCATTTAAAGGGCAGTTTTGGCCAGAATGACACATACTCTGAGTCACACGACGGGGAAGAGGTTGTGACACTACTCAGGAATCTACCTTGCTTTGTCAGCACAGTTAGACGACTGATACCTGTCATGGTACAATGTCCATGTGTGGTAAGATGGATCCAGTTTAGCTCTGCACATCCCTCAGGACCCATACTCACCCAACAAAGCATGTACAGCCAGTTAAAAAACACACCTGCACATAGCCTCATTGTATACAGCATATGGGCAGTTGATAACATGCACATAGACCCTCATGCCTGCATGTTTTCTTGCAGTGTCCGAAACTAGACTGATAAACACCTCTTCAAACTGATACTTAGCTTAATTCTCTGTTATCCAAACATTTCATCAAAGGCCACGTACCTACAAAGCGGACATCTCTACCCAAGCTAGACAGGCCACATACCAAACCCTTTTGAAAACAAGGAACCAAAACTACATTTACCTGTTAATAGCACGGGGCTGACAGCCCTTACTTTCTATCTGCAATATTTTGCAAATTCTAAGAGACTTAAATCTCATAAGGTGATTATGCCATTAATTAGAGGAACACTGTCATCCCTGGGGTGCAACACAGCAGCTGTTTCAGCTGAGCAGCAAAGAAAAGCCAAGAGGGCAAGGTAGTGCTAGTGCCTCCAGGAGAAGCCCTCCTGCTCTGAGCATCCCAGCGCTGCTGCCCCATGGTACGGAACTGCTCTGGTGCCAGTAAGGGAGCACCACAGCTCTGTCCACCACACCAAACATCCCCTCTCTCAGAGGCCAGTACCCCTTTTCCAACTGGGTGCATGAATGTGGGATCTAATGGAGGGGTTGTCTGCTGCAGCCTAAGCCCTGCATTTCTCAGGATGTGGGTTTTCCGGGGAAGCTGTTCATACATGGATTATCAACTCAGAAGGGATCTCTCTGGTCCTTCACCCCTCTGACCTCCTGCAAAATGGAGATCACAGAGACTACCTCAATGATCTCCCCTCGAAACTGCAGCATAAAACAGGCAAGGAAAAAATAAAATCCCATGAAGATAACCCATGATGCAGCAGCTATCGCAGCTTTTCCATCGGCTGCTCTGTGAACATGGCTTAATTTCTAGCCTAAGCATGTCTGGCTAAAACTGTCAGCTGCCAGGCCAGGTCCCTGCACTGTGAGCTCAAGAGAGCAGATTCGGTTCTTCACACAGGCATCTCCATCCCACAGCTCTGTCACCATGTACCTCCATGAAGGACCACTGATGCAAACTCAGCAAGTGGTGACATGGTGAAGGACTATAATGACTGGGGGGTAGACTAGGACCACTGTCCCAAGCAACAGGGAACACTTGGATGGCCACCAGCTAGATCCTACACATGAAGGCTACAGATGTTACATGAGAAACACTTTGTACAACAGCAAGTTTTCACCACAAGCTGAAGATGGGTGGAAGGAAGGAGGGAGATCTTCTCTGCAGCACTCTGGGGTGTGATACTGCTGTCTTCCCAGAGGGGGAATCTCGGCAGCGAGGGGGAATTCCTCCTTAGTCTGGCATGTCCTGCCTCCCCTGGGCACCTCTATAGTCAGGAGCAAGGGAGAAAAACCTCCAGAGTAGCAATTATAGCAGCACATCTAGCCTGAAGGAAGCTATATCCTCTGAGAGGGATTGGAACTAAGTTCTCCTAGATTGAAGACATTCTGATGACGATTTTTGATACTTTCTGTCCCACCCTGCCACCTCAATTTAATTGTGATCCTTCCGGAGAGCACTGCCTTCACCTGACAGAAGTACCCCTGAGGGACGGAAACACTGCTGAAGTTGGGGCACCCAAATGCAAGAGCAAGTCTGCCTACTATTCCTCTCACAAGAAGCTGGGCTGAGGGATCTGGCCTTGTACTGCTGTGAGAATGAGTGGGATAACACACAACTTTCCTCCCTTGAAAGGATTTGTCTATCACATTCTTCAGAGTAATGTTAAAGGAAAAGAAAAAAGGAAGGAAAAGAAAAGCAAGTTGTTAATAAAATATGGAGATGACCTGGGAATTTGGTCCCCAAAGCCCATGATAAAAAGCCTCCAGCTGAGAGCCAACCACTACATTATATTCCCCAGCACTCTGCTTTGTCTCTCCTTAAATGTAGGGCACATGGCTTCTGTCACTTCTTTGGCATGCCTGCTTAAAGTCTGAGAGGTTTTACTCTGAGGAAGCTTTTCCTTCATGTTCAGCTTAAATGTGCCATTTCTTGAAGTCATCCCCTTGTCTTTTATACTCTAGCAAGCAAAACAAGTGCTAAATTAAATTGAAGACACATGAAATCTTTATAAAGCCCAGTGTTTCCCCTAGCATGAAAGTGCCTTCTCCTTAGAGTAGAACGGGTCTTTACTCTGTGCTGTATTTTTCCCCATCAGAAAATGGAGAAGAATATGAATTTTCCTCATGACTTGAATTTAGCTTCATCAGCAGCCCCCTGCTGATGTAATTCAACCCAACGAGATTTTTCTCTTCCCTCTTTTTTAATTTCCCAGTGAGCTGCTGCCACTTTTCCCCTCCTCCCATCAATTCAGGCATGGAAAACAAGGGAAGAATTAGACAGAACTTATGATCTAACCAGCCGCAACTTCAGACCGGGCAGGAGTAACATTTAAAATATAAAAAGCAGATTTTATCAAGCCTTTTCCTCCCCAGAGACTGCCACAAAAAATATTCCTTGTTTGTCACTGAGAATGAACCATTTTTCTCTTTCATTTCTGCTTTCTGTCACATATTTCATTTTGGCTGCCCCTTCTGTCTTTCAGCTAGGGACCTAGCTGCTAAAGCAGAATCACAGATAACTCAACAACAAAATGCCTGTAGTCTCTTATTTTTTTCATCCTAGTCTGCCAGGTAATTGCAACCCTAAAAGCTTTTGCATATTTACCACAGAAACATGTCTCTCCTGGAGGATGGGACTGTCATCAGATTGAATATTTCATATAATAAGCCTCTTCTGAGGTATAAACTAGGGTTGGGAATTTTTTTCTGGCCTCCTTCAGAGCAAAGGACAAGCAGATAAAAATCAGCTGCTGCAGTGCTACAGTGTCAAAGTTCCCCTTCCTGTGAAAATTAACTCTTCCCAAGCTCAGGGCCCAGGTGGGTTTTGCCACTGTTTATGTTTATGAAGTAGGAAAAAGGCCTGTTATCAACTCACATTGTTTCTTTGTCCCCAGTGTTCCCCATGTCGAAGACAGATTTATTTCCTATTTACAAACAAAGCAGCTACCCTGCTTTTCAGTAACCCATCTGATGAGCTGTGGATGCTGCCAAGACTGATTTTCATTAAATCAGTCCCCAAGAAGGATCACATTTTCCCTCTTCACCCCCATTTCACAGAATTACAACAACAAAACCAGGGCCTGGGTGTTTCTAAATTCAGCTGTCATCTAAAGACAAATTCCCCTTCTTTTCCCTCCCTATTTTTCCCCACCCCTGTGGTAGCAGAACTGCTTTTCCCAGTCCTTGGGATGTTGAACCAAGCTGACTGGTACCAAAGAGAGGGTCTGAAAAGAACACTGACAGAAAAGACTTTGTGTCTTGGAGTCAAGACAGAAGGAGAGGATGACCTTTTGGGGGTTATGGAAAGAGACTGATTTGCTACAACTGTTCAACAGACTGAAGAGGGATATAGCTGGTTCACAGTTTTCACTTTGGGCTCACTTACACAGAGGTCAGAACTCCATCCTAGCACATAACATGCCTTTAGTTAAAAGCACTGTGAGTGGGAATCAGAAGTCAGCGACAGGTCCTCAGTCCGACATCAGATTACTGGCAATACTCATTCATCTCTACCAACAGCCTCCCACATGGAGAAAGGTGTTTCCAGCCTGGCCAAGCTGCCTGCTTGCCTGGAGCAGAGCCAACAGGAGTCAGCCAAAATCCTCCCATTGACTCTAGCAAGCTCCACAGCCTGTGTGAAAACTAGTCCTTGACAAAGCACCTTCTTGCATCCATACAGTTTTCCTGTGGGTCAACCTTACTCTTGTAAGGCCCTTGTTTCATGTATGAGTAAAGACTAGAAGACGTATCTGAACTATGGATAGACTGTTCAGGTTGAAGTCTTTCTGAAATCAAGAACCTACTTGTATTGACTTGGAAAGGAAAAATGCAAAATACTACTCCTAGTAACATTAGATGAGTACAGTTTCTTACCTGTAATATCGGGATTGAAGGTAGGTAGAACACACAGCTTTTGACACATGGCTAGCTGAACCAAAGTCTATGACCTTGACCCTATATGGCTGTCGGGCTGGGTCTACCAACATGATGTTCTCCGGTTTGAGATCAGCATGAATCAGTCCCAGGCTTTTCAGCTTCATTAGGGCAGTTGCTACCTGCTGCAGAATTGGTCGAATGTACTTAAGAGGCAAAGGACTGAATTTGTTTTGTTTTAGGAAATCATAGAGGTTCTGCTCCAACATTTCGAAGACCAAGCATGTGTGATTCTTGTGCTGAAAGCACTCGTACGCACGGACAAAGTTGTAGTCATCTGCACTTTCTGTGCTCAGCCGAGCCAGGATGCTCACTTCAATCTGGCCTTGCCGGGCATAGGAAGGATGGTTTTTCAGGATTTTGATGGCCACAATCTCGTTAGTGCCACGTTTCCAGCATTTGACTACTTGTCCGAAGGTTCCACGACCAAGAAACTCTAACACTTCGTACGTGTTGGTCATGGAACAGAGCACCTCATGTTGTACCAGTTGGTAATCCCCTTCGCTGTTGGAGCCACTGTTTTTGGAGGTGGCCGTGGAGGTGGTAGCGGTGGCTACAGTGGCCCCACTAGCATTGTTTTGAATCATTGGTGGATGCTCTTCGATGATCTGCACGCTGCTTGTGTTCTCGATCTCCTCACTTTTGCGTTTAAGTCCACATTTTTGGTAGGTGTCCAGAAGGCTCACAGTGCTGCGACGCATCAGGTTGTGTGGCCCACCCAGTGTTTGCCCAGACACTGCAACCACACCAGAAGTACTGTTGGCAGATGTCACCACGATGTGCCCGGTGCTTGCTGGGAAGATGATGGTCTGTTCGTAAGGGATGCTTGGATTGGGGATCTGGAGGGAGGCGTTGACGGCTGCTGCGGCGGCTGCTTGGGAGGACTGCACGTTCTTGCTCTGGCTGTAGACTTTGCTGTGTGTGCCGTACCCAGTCATATCCCAGTTTGAACTCGGCTCCACTTTCAGTTTCTTCACGCTACAGAAGGCACTTGACTGAAGGGTGTGAGGAGAGAAAACTTGCACATGCGAGGCCATACCTGCAATATAACATCAGAGTGAAACAACAATGTTAAGATGCTTTCCCTAGCTCTTTTCATTTGTTCAGTGGCAAGAAGGGAAAATGGGATACAGAGTCATACAATAGTTTGGGTTGGAAGGGATCTTCAAAAGTCATCTGGTCCACCCCCCCTTGCAATGAGCAGGGACATCTTCAACTTGATCAGGTTGCTCAGAAGCACATCCAGCCTGGCCCTGAATGTCTCCAGGGCTGGTGCATCCACCACCTCTCTGGGAAACCTGCTCCAGACTTCAGATACAGCACACGCACACACACAAAAATAAAATTCTTCCAGAAATATGTATTCAACACAAATAAAACATTATGCTCTAAAATAAATCATTGCCCCTGATAGAACGAAATTAACAACAACCAAGGCTCTTGCTCTACCCCCTCTCATTTTTAATAACAGAAATGTAATGTTATTTTTACCTCCTCTGCCTAAAGTGACTCCTATTGCCATTGTCTCCAGGAATATATCTTTATCTCATGAAGAACTCATGTCAAATACTGCAAAGTATTCTGCCTATGGAAGCCAAATCTCAAATCCTCAGGCTCATCCTATATTAAGTACTTCAGTGGATCTGACTTAAACCCTCCGTTTATTCCCATAAACCCACTGTGTAGCTTCTGGCCTGCAGAAAGCCAGGATGGGACCTGGAGATGATATACCATGACAAAATGGAGATGCACAGGCAAAGTTGAGGAGCCAGGACGTAAGCAGCAGATGATGTTTCAGGTTGCTTGCCAAGTCTGCGTGTGGGAATTGTGCACAATGCTGGTCTGTGCTCAGGGACACTGGAGATGGGAGTTACACAACATGAGCCTCACTGTTTGCTCTCAGTTCTCCCAGATTTATAAAACTGCATTCATCTATTCTTATTCACAGTGACAATAACATCAGTGGAAAATAAAGTGTCACTGAAACAGTTACTGAAGGATTCTGAGTAATATCCCACTGAAACAGAAAATGCTTCTATTCAGAAAAAAAGATGTGGTCTACAGAGAAGAGGACATCTAAGTGCTGACTTACTGCCCTCTCTCCCTGCCCAGGATAGGGATGGTACTGCTGGACTAAAAGTATTGTGAGCAGGTGGCTCCTGGGGAAGGAGTCAGTGCCTGGCAGGAGTTAAGAGCAGAAACGCACCTCCTTCACCCCTCTATCTGTCGTCACTGTTTCTTTTTAATAAGCCAGAATGACTAGGGAAGAAAAAGACAATATGCTGAGCTGGCATGTTGCTGAATTACTAAGCACAAACATAACCTTGACTTGTTTTCAACTTTCAAAAAGTTAAAAGTTGAATGAATGCTGCAGTCACAAAACTAGAACAAACTGCAGTGCACACAGAGATGACTTCTTCATGTGGAGACCAAAGAGTATCCAACACTTTCCTAAAAGAAATCCATAATCCACATGCTGCTCTTCAGAAGATTTTCTTGAGCTCATGTGCACACATACACAAACATGCATGCATAAACATATACACCCATACAGAAAAATATGAACATTACTCCACACTTCCAAAGCTCAGTAGCATTGAGCATCAGGTCAAGCAAACACACCTAAACACACCCATTGCCCAGCAGCCCAAAGGCCAGGAACTGCTCAGAAGAGGGCTGCTGTACTGAGCCAAAAACCACTGTATATAGCTACACAGAACTAACCACCAAAGCAGTAACTCCAGCTGCTTCAACACTCCCACCTTCATTCCTGCCATAGTGACAGACTGATGAAGACAGGGCAGATGCAGAAGAAAACCCCTATAAGGACACTTAGAGAAACCCTCACCCCTGCTGGAACAGGCAATGAAAACCCCACTAACCCTGCTCTAGCAATGAAGCTCTGCAAAACGCAGCGTGCCCTCCTTCACAGACATGACCTCTGGCTTTAATGTGATTTCTGATGCTGTTTGCTGCCATTCCCATTAACTTCCCCCACCAACCTCCTTGGCAGCTCTTTCCAAGGTCCCTGCAACTGAGTTCTCAGAACCCAACCAGACCCCTGCCCCTCTAAGTACTTTCTCTCCTCTCTCCACAAGGCAATGATGCTGCCACAAATGCTGTAGCATATGGCATGTGGTGAGCCTGGAGAGCCGCAGCAATATTACTCAACTTGTCATCATGGACACAAGTATCATATGTGAGGCAGGTGAAACTGTTTGTTTTTCCACTGATTAAGAAAACTCATGGTGTTCCTCCTAGTAGAGTACCAACCTGCCTGGAGATTGAGGTTGGTCTGATGTACATTTTCCCCCTGGATGTGAATAATAAAGCAGATGTAATTGGTAACATATTGTGGACCTAGCAGAGGTATAATCTATAGCTTTATGGCTTTCATACCATGGTGTGCTTAAGCAGTATCTCTTCATCCAAAATAAAGAGGGGAAACGACGACTGACACAGAACAAGGAGAGAGGTTCTTCTCACACACCCTAGCACTAAAAGGTAACACCAGAAGACCCAGGCACCCCAAATGAAAGCCAGCGATGTGAAGCGTAGCAGCTGCAATGTTGTCAGCACCGCTCGAAAAATCAGGGTAATCACCACCCTTAAGAGACAGACTTTCAACTGGTGCAAACTGGCAGGGCTCCAGTTGATATCAGCTGACGCTAAAAACAAGGTCAGCAGTCACTCAACATCGGCAATGTCAGATGGCTGCCTGTGCCCCTCGGTGAAATGAGCTGTTGTTAGGGACTGGTTTCCACATCAACAACCAGCCCCCTGCTGCCCCTGCAACACTGATGGCAGCCTCAGCAGGGGGAATCAACAGGGGACAAACACTGACCCACCCTGGCGCCCCAAAAATAGTAGGAGTGCAGAAAGTAGAGCCATCCTATGGCTAAAGGGAAGACTCTGGACTCTCCAGCTACCATCTCCACCTTCCTCAGAGGTTGTGTCTCATTGTGAGAGAAATATTTTTTTTTACCCTGAAAAAAAAAAGTATGAAATCTTCTTCCTTCCATCTAAAATGATTTTCTCACATTTGAGGTTTAGGGGCACACATTGTAAGAGTAACTCGGCCAGCTCTCCAGCATAGGCTGATACCAAGAAATTACAGGCTGATTGACAGCTTGGTGATGGGAAAAGAAGGCTTCTGCAGGAAAGTAATTTTTATTGCAAATTTGCCTGTGCAGTGAATGGGAGAAAAACACAGCCCCAAATTTCCTGAGGACACTATCAAATTGTGCTGGTGGCATGTTCTTTTTTTCAGAAAGGATCTTTCCTTCATGGCAATAGCAGAAATAGTAATAAATGTGAATAAAAGTTGGATGGTTTGTTATGGGTATCTGATTCCTCATTACAGCCTGTAATACAATTTACAACTCCAGCCTTTTAATTACATAAGCCAAAAGTAGCTTGCCACAATATCCATAAAGAAACAAGCCTGCAGTACTGGGGTGATCCACACCAGCCAAGCCCTGTGACACAGATGCCCCCTGAACATTCCCCAGAGCCAGCAGGGGTGCTCCTGGGGTCTTGTAAAGACAAAGAGGCCATAAGGCACGGAAGGATGGAAAACAGTCTGTTTCACTTGGGAAATATCCTCTTACTCTGCCACTCACAGGTCTGCCATGAAACATTCTGTGTGAGGCTGAGCCTCCCTTCACTACAAGAAGATCCTAGCAGACACCCTTCCATGTTTTGCATGGGATGGCTGAAGGCTGGCATGTGGCTCCTCACTTTTTCGTTCTCCACCAGGAGCTCAGGCCTAGCTTCTGCCTTGGCAGGGGTGCAGGGCAGCTTTCTACACCCTCCATTAGCCAGCCAGGTGGCAGTCAGGATGCCACTACAGCTAAATACAAGTCCTGAAGAGTGCAGGTCTAATTTTTATCACCCCTGTGCATGCTGAGTCTCTGGACTGGGAGCAGAATCAATGTTGGGCACCATGCATTAAATAAAATTGATAGTTCCTTTCTTTAATAATGAGGTTTAGTGTAGCCATTTAAAGCTCTCACACAATTGACAGTAACGGGATTTAATGGGGCCTTCCCTGTCCTTGATACGACTCACGTAACTCCCCGTAGCAACCACATGAGCTGAAGTATGTAGTGTGCAGCTAGGGGACAATGTTAAAACAGCCTGAATGGCTTTTATTAAAAGACTTGAGGTTGTTTTTTTCCTGAGAACTCCACCCACGTCAGCTTTCACTTGATAATAATTTAGCAGGTGCTATTTACAATTCAGATGGTCCTCTTCTGCATGCATCCACAGATCACGCAGCCGCCTCACTCGGGTTTTCAACAGGTTTCAGGGAAGCAAATGAGGTAAAGTTGCCTATCCACCCACCTCACCCCAAAGGGCAAAAAATGCACTTTGGGGACCAAGAAGGAACAGTTTGAAAGTCACTGATGTTTTCTTCTGCTTTACTCCCAGCACTTACTGCTCATTTATAAATGTGGCCTTTGTGGTGGCAAGAGACCAAGCGCCTGCCCTGTATTAAGTAGGCAGCAAGACCTTTTGCAGTACCTGCAGAGCTGCCAGTGCTCTGTAACCAGAGGCAGCTTACTGACTGCTGCCAGAACAACAGTGCCTGCTTGAAAAATACTGTAGAAAGCCCATGGCATGTGTTCAGCATATAAATGATGCACACAAGACACTCCTGAAATAAGTATCTTCTACTTCTCCCTGGCGAGGCACAAGCCTGCTAACTCATACACACACAGGTTATGAAGGCAACATGAAAAGGGTATCTGTCAGGTATGGCTAAGGCATTGCACCTTCAAAACAGCTATGTCTCAAGCACAGCCCTCTTTTCTTCTTCACCATGGCCTCTGTGTGGCCCCTTTTGAGCCACTGTTGTCAGTACCACCACGCTATTGGAACCTACTTAAAATTTACATCCCTGGAGGCTACACAAATTCCTTCTCTTGTGCTACTGAATGTTTGGAGACAACCTCAAAGTGGAGTTCAGACCTCAACTGCTTCAGCTCCTTCCTGCTCCTGGTGAGCAGAAGATGTCAAGGGAGCCTTCGCTGCAGA